ATAAAATCGTAATCTGACAGTCAGAAGAGCGTAGATGTATGAAACTTTAAAGATACATGTGGAAAAGCTACTATTTTGGCAATGGTAGATGAGCATCAAATGGCAGGTATTAAAACCTTCTACCAACAATTTGGTCAATGACATCGCGCGACCTTGTCAATCAGCTAGCGTGGTAAAGCACATTTCAGTGGAGGGAAATTGCTATTTGATCTTGACTCCTTATCTAAGTTTCCACTTAAAATTTTATGTAACGTAAATTTCATATCTAGTTTTCTTCAAGTTGTGAATAGAAATGAGTTAAAATTTGACCTAATTTAAACGAAGGTGGGCGTATTTTGGAGATTATTTTGGCCAATTTCGCAACCCCTAAGGTCATTGCGAACGATGCATGTCGTAAAACAAGAAAGTCGGTACTAAATCGGTAATTAACTTTTTTTTAAAATGGAGAAGAGCTGTCGCAGTTATGGAAGTATCTAGAGGTGAAGACAAATTCCCCTACACCTTTCAATATTTCCCCCGATTATTTCTCACCTCGTAACGTCTGAATTGGCAAACGTGCTAATAACCGCTGCCTTGTGAAGTAATCAAGTGATTTGACTGACGGCCCTAAAGCGAACATTAGAAGAAACCAGCAGGTAATTTTGAGAGTTAGTAGTCAAAAGCGCCCCTCAATATTTCTAGAAATTAGTTGGCAATTCGACTTTCTCCCAAATATTTTATCTCGGGATCAACCTATGCATACTAATTCCCCTTATCTGTTATCTGGTAGTAAAATGTTTTGAACTTTACCATTTGCTCAAGTTGGATATGTGTAATATTTTATCTAAAAGAAAGTAAATTAATAAGTTAGGATACTTTTAATTTTATTATTAGTTACGGATTTTAAATAAGTGCACAATGCACAAAATTTTGATTCTATGCTTGTTGGAAGTTTGATTAAATTGTGGAAACTTATTTAAACCCTTGGTATTAGTAATTTTGGGGAATTGAGGTTATCGTGAGCGACTAAAAGGCCGTAACAATTCATTAGAAGGAAGAACAATATCTTCGCCTTTGTAGTTCATCCCTTACATGTGACATCCCCGATTACTCTAATGCATGAAACGGGCGAGTACAAACGGAATTTCAGCACGCAAGTGTCGAAGAAGGATAAGAACCAGGGTACAGTGACGCATGAACCCTACTACCGACAATTAGAAGAAGTGATGAAACAATCTAGCGAAACCCCAATGACCTACTGGCTTGATCGAGCTGTGGGTTCGCCAACTCCCTTGCAGTTCGCCGCCGGTTCGGATATTGTGTCTGATTTGTCAGCGACATCGGAAATAAGCAGCATTTCTAGCAAAGGCAAGTCTGACTCACTTATTTTGATAGAGGTGACAAACACAATTAAACAGCAATACATATGCTATTTCTGTTCTAACAACACTACACAAGCTTTCATTTTCTAACTTCTACCAGCCCTCACTCTATTACAAAATATTGAGAGGGAGAATTTTTAAGACAATTCTTCACACTTATTAGTTGATTTTATAATTAAATTATATAATCATGCATTTTTACCTAGTTTCTCACTTTCTGAGCATGAATCAAAGTTGGCAATTGAATTAGTTGAATTTATGCCACCAAAATATTGAGAACTATTGCAAGGTCTGATCATGTGACTGGCGACTGAGGATGAATAAGGACATTCGTGTTCTCGTCAGCACCCCCTTTTCGGTGCGTGATTGCATGTGGCGCAATTCTGAGTTCAAAGCCCGCAAATAATTTGTCGCCATTGGAGATTAAAGATCTGATTTAATAATATTTGGTTTAATTTTATGACATCGAGTCTTAAGTGGATGTTAAATTTTTAAGAATAGGTGGGTATTGAGGAGTGCCCAGTGCTATCCAAACTGGCCAAAGAGATTCCTCGCGCTCTTAAATTTTCCGAAAACCGCGGTCGTACAATCGATCTCTTTTTGTGCAACCGTGTTGTGTGTGTGTGTGCAGAAGTTTATTTATCTATATCAAATGGCAGGCCTTTTCAAAAATATATTTATTTATATCAAATGGCAGGCGTTCTGATAGGTATCATTAGCCCTTTAGTTGACTTCGTGCTTCAGAGGTATCATTAGCCCTTTAGTTGACTTCAGGCTTCACAGAGTTATTAGCCCTTTAGTTGACTTCAGGCTTCACAGAGAGGAAGAAACATCAGATTGAAAAAAGTCGAGAGGGGGGAATAGAAGAGTGTTTTAAAGATGTAAGAGACAAACACAAAAGTTGAACGAAGGTGAGGTGAGTACTGTGGCAGACACAAAGGTAGAACAAAGGTGAGGTGAGTACTGTGTTACACGAAGGTAGAGAAAAAGGTAAGATGAGTACTGTGGAGGCTTAGAAAAGGTAGGAAAAAGGTGAGGTGAGTACTGTGGAAGATACAAATGTAGAAAAAAGGTGAGGTGAGTACTATGGAAGTATACAGACTCAGAGGTAGAAAAAAGGTGAGGTGAGTACTGTGGAAGTAGACTAATATGCCATACAGTGGGTCATGGTAGCTAGAGTCAACTGAAGGTAGAAAAAAGGCGAGGTGAGTACTGTGGAAGTGGTGAAATATGACATACAGTGGGGTGATGGTAGTTTGAAGTCAGAGGTATATGACATACAGTGGGGTGATGGTAGTTTGAAGTGAGAAATAGGTAGAAAAAAGGTGAGGTTAGTACTGTGGAAGAAGTCGACAGTAGAGCAAAGGTGAGGTGAGTACTGTGGAAGGGGTCGAATTTGACATACAGTGGGGTGATGGTAGTTTGAAGTGAGAAGTCGAAGAGAAAAGGTAAGATGAGTACTGTTGAAGTGGTCGAATTTAAGAAAAAAGGTGAGGTGAGTACTGTGAAATGGTCGAATATGGACAAAGGTGAGGTGAGTACTGTGAAAATAGTCGAATATGACATACAGTGGGGTGATGGTAGTTTGAAGTGAGAAGTCAACTCCCAGTTAATGGACTTTTTTGCCGTATGAGCAAAAACGAATGCCGAGTGATAGAATTTTTGCCGTAAGAAAGTACGTTGCCCAGGGTGCACCACGTGGAGGTAAGTCTATCGTAGTTAACTGCCAGTTAATAGACTTTTTGCCGTATGAATATAACGAAAGCCGAGTGATAGACTTTTTTGCCGTAAGAAAATACGCTGCCCAGGGTGCACCACGTGGAGGTAAGTCTATCGCACACAAACTTCCGGTTAATAGACTTTTTACCGTATGAGTATACGTTTCCCAGGGTGCACCACGTGGAGGTAAGTCTATCGCACACCCACCAGGATGCACCACGTGGAGGTAAGTCTATCGCACACCCCGTGTGTGTAGAAGTCTTATCTACGATTTATATTCCTTTAAAAATACCAGTTCGCAATTCGCCATGGGGATAATATATTCTATTCCCTCTATACGCTCCAAGTACTCACTACTTTGAATTTAGCCTAGCTAACTGATTGGGGAAAGAGATTTGGGCTAGTGGATTTCGATGTTGTATTTGTCTGCATCCAATTGGACATCAAAGAAGATTATCCAAGTTTATAGGTGCTTATTTACGTATTATCGGCTAGAGTAAAAAGCAAAATGATTTCCTAGCCAATATAAAGCATTTTGAAACCATGTTTTGCGAAATGAGGCAAGTTCCAATGAAACTGAAAATAACTAACGATTAATATTAAGGTTAAATTAGCAGACTATTGTATCTATTTTCCCAATTAACATTTCCTTGAAAATGACGTGCTATTTGCATAATGAAACTAATCAAGACAGATATTTGTCTATATATTTGTAGAAAATGTTGCATTGCATTCTTGGGTTTAATCATTATGTAAACCTTCGACTAACATACGCTGCTGCGGCCAGAAAAACGCAGACAATACCACCCACAAATTGCTTATCAAAGTTTGATTATATTTATACCTCGGTTATTTATAAAATATATTTCAAAAGATGAATTGGTTAACTTGAAGGCTAGCAGTGCAATCAAATTCTAAAGAGGAAAACAGTTGCGTTGGATGGAACCAATCTGGAAGAAATTGCAACTTATTTCTCCTAAACCCCATCCATTTTGTGCAATTCGGGAATCTGTAACAATTTTGGCGCACAATAAGGTTATATAACAAAAGGACTTTAATAAAAACCGTGTGAGATTTAGAACCAAGCCAAAAATTTTATTAACATATTTATATGTAAAAAGGCTATTTATTTATCTTTAGGAGGCAAAAAGCCAACATCATTTTCTGTCACTTTATCTACCTTTTTGTTTAGATCTTGGTTCAACATGTGGATCCAGAGACGGGACGGTGGTAACCCTACTTTCTGTCTATAAAGCCCTAGGGAAAGCTTCAAAAATACTCGCGGATTCAAATGAAATAATTCGCAAACAGGTCGAACAGCTCAAGAATAGAAACCGTAATTCACAAAGTCTTCCAAATATTTGATCACATTGCATTTTAATATTTTGAATTTGTAAGATGACAAACAAGAATATAACTATAAAATATCATAAATTTGCTAAGATTATTTACCGCAAACTTTTCGACACAATCATAAACTGTAATTTTCCTTTTTTCGTAACATGTTTTCTTTTAACTTAGCCTTTTAAATTTAATTCATTGTTCAACGTATCTGCTACTCAATCGAAATAGTAGCATATGTAAATTTTATGACGTTTTAAATGGGCAAAAATTTTCACTAAAGGTTATCGTATCCATCATGTTAAGAATACTAAGGAATGCATCGAATTGGAATTTATTATAAGGGAATTATTAATATGGTGACTTGTCAAAACGCTTTCATCCCTATGCATCTCCAAAATTTTACCAAGGTCATCACTAATCTCTGAGACCTAATTATCCTGACCCCACAGCGGGGCTTGAGGCTTTTGACCCTCCTAGAAAACCAATTATGTACCCTCAAGTGGTTTATTTAGCCAGTGAAACAAGCTATCCCAGTGATTCAACTTTCCCAGCCTGTGCAGTCCGGATCCACTCCTTTTATATGAAATCTGGAAATGCCCTCTTTATACACACATAGAGGAGGGGGGGGGGAGTCTATCATCTTTAACTTCGAAACCTCACAATGACCACATTAATTATCAGAGGAAATATTTTCCTGGTAATTCCATGCGGCGAAGTGACCTGATAAATTTAACATAAGTATTCGTGTTGGTGATTAATTGTATTCGTACAATTTCACAAATCTCAAGGTTTCGTCTTTGATAAATTTAGCCTTTTGAATATTTATTTATTTCAAATGGCAGGCATTTTGATATTTATCACAGAAGGGAGGAACATTCAAGTGAGAAACATTCGACAGGGGGAAAGAAGAGCGATTCACAGATGTAACAGACAGACAGACAGACACAAAGGCAGAGTACTGTGGAAGGGGTCGAATATGACATACAGTGGGGTTATGGAAGTTTGAAGTCAGAGGTCAACTGCCAGTTAATAGACTTTTTGCCGTATGAGTATATGTTGCCCAGGGTGCACCACGTGTAGGTAAGTCTATCGCACACCCCGCCTTTTGAATATAAATATGTCTTAAAGT